GCGTGAACACTGAAACGAGCAGCAGTGACCTTCTTCCATCTGTTCTCCATCTTCTGTTTGGATGCTGATCATCTTTCTCCACGCTGGATTTGTCTCAGTAACCCTTCTCCTCTTTTCCCTCTTTTCCAGGTTCATCAGGACAAATCATCGTGACTCAGTCTCCTGGAGCTCAGTCTGTGGTTGCAGGGCAGTCTGTCTCCATCACATGTAGAACCAGTACAAGTGTTAGTAACTACCTCCACTGGTACCTTCAGAAACCTGGCAAAGCTCCTAAACTCCTGATTTATAAAGCTACAAATCGTCAGTCTGGAGTTTCAGATCGTTTCAGTGGAAGTGGATCTGGTACTGACTTCACTCTGACCATCAGAGGAGTCCAGGCTGAAGATTCAGGAGTTTATTACTGTCAGCAGGGTAGCAACTTGTTCACACAGCGATACAGCGCCGTACAAAAACCTCCCTCAGCTTTAGAGGAACTGTCTCAACAGCTGCACTCAGGCTAAAGACTAACTTAGCTGTGAAGGAAACAAACACTGCAGCTCATCAGGTTGTACTAACACATTTCAGTTTAACAAAAACTGAACTTCCTAGTCAGTTTTGAAAAATTCTGTTGATGATCATTTTAATAACACAAACACTAAAACATTAAGTATGGATGTTTTTATTGTTTACATTGTAGACTTTTATATAGGAAATTAAAGATGTTGTTTAATGATGAAAGCACGTTTTATCCACGTGCTGTTAGACAAACAGTGACATCTAGTATTACAGGATCGTACCACAGAATGACTCCTCCCACTCATTTCTGAGCATCTGTTAATTCTCATTAAATATTATAATAGTGTGTTAAAGTCAAATGAACACCAGTACAATCACATGTGTGTTTCTGAACTCTGCACCACCTATCAGCCTTATTTAGACAGCTGCAGCTGGATGAGGCCGTGGGGGTCTCAGTCTCTATAACAACAAGTTATTTTAATGTCATCATTAAGAGTTGACAACAATGTGTGATTGAACACTGGGAACTTCTTAAATATTAAACAGTTTGAGGTACTTTGGTGTTTCTTTTATTGTTGTAACTTTAATATGTTTTTCTGAAACATTTCCCGTTCAGACTCTGATGCTGTACAGGTGGGACTACCTGTATGAATAACGGTGAACTAAAATTTTTTAATTTAAGCTCAGTTAAAAAGGGCAGAAGTGGAACGAGAGTTTCTTTGAATGAATCTTTATTGTGTCAAACAGTGAAATGATGAACAAAACAAAGACGAGTGACAGAAAGAGAGAGAGAGTCAGCTCAGGACTGGGAACACTGGTCTCTCCTCAGTGTCTGTGAGAGAGGAGTGTGGGAGCCCTGGGTGGCCTCACAGGTCACAGAGCCCACCTTCTCCCACTGGTCTGCAGGGAGCCTCAGGGTGCTGCTCCAGCTGTAGAGGCCGTCCTCCTGCAGCACCCCTGGGCTCCTGCCCTCCTCCCAGCTGCTGCTGCTGCTGCCGTCCACCTTCCAGGACAGACTCCAGTCTGAGGGGAAGCCCTTGTTGGCCAGGCACATGAGCGTGGCCTTCCCCTGCTGCAGCTCCTCTCTGGAGGGGGGCAGCACCGTCAGGGTGGGACGAGCGTCACCTAGGAGACACCAATCAGCTTAGAGGACAGGG